TGTACAAGTGAGTTGCCCTCCGTACCCAGAACATCAGTAATTTGTGAATCTTTCATATCATCTTCTTCCGTCAATAGAGCGCCATCTTCTGGAGAGCTAAACATACCATTTGTTTGTGTTTCACCTTGAGCTGAAGGTTCAGTTCTGCCAGTTTCTTCAGGGATATTTTCATTATTACCAGTTGCTTCTTGTTGAAAGGATTCTATATCACTGACATCTTCAAACTGGTTTGTGGGGTTCTTGTTAAGATGCTGGTGAGTATCATTATCGTCATCCTGCTGAGCTGGAACTGATATACGACTACCATCTGCATCATCTGGTTGCACTACTTGTTGCTGACTGTCATCTCCATCAGATTCCTCACCATTTCCTCTCCCCCTTTGCAGAAATATATTAGTCAGCTCATCATTGAAAGGATCATCACCAGGATCAGTGGTTTTCCCAGTCACAGAAATATCATTATTGCCTCCATCAATCTGGTTGTCCAGACCAAAGTCATCTGCTGGACGATATTGTCCTTCAACTGATCCATTATGATGATTTTCTCCAGACTTGTCTAAGTCATAAGCAGCTGTTCCATCAGGATCATTGACAGTATCCACTGCTTTATCAATCACCTGGTTAACTAATTGTTGAGCAATCAAACTGTTATCTTCTTCATCAGAATAAGCATCAAATGAACCACCTTGGTCACTGGCTACACCAGATAAAGGTGTCCTCGGTGAATTGACTGAAGTATCTCTGGGTGATTCACCAGGTTGGTGCTCATCTTGAAAGGTGTCTTCCTCTTTTTGATAAACTCTATCATCAATATTGGCCAAATTTTCATCAATTGCAGGTCCATTATCACCAGCTTTAGTACCAGAATCCTCATCATTAGACCTGATCGGACTTCTGGGAGAAATAGCTGGGGAATTCAACTGAGGCATGGAAACTGACACATCTTCAATTTTCTCTGTTTCTTCTAGGGGAACATTTTCAACAAGGTTATTGGCTTCTCCTGACATATCTTTTGAAATATCAGGATTGGTATCTTTCTCCTTGTCGGTAATTCCATCAGGATCTTGAAGAATTGTTGATTCTTCTGATTCAGTTTCTTCTTTATCTCCATTTTGCAAATTCTGATTCAATACTACTGACTTATATTTTGGGTCTTCTATAAGTGGTACTGCCCCATAATCTTTATCTTGGTTTTGAGACATGTCTGTGGTATCAAAATTTTTGTTGACAGAGGCATTATCATCTGGGATTCCCCTTTCTTTATCTTCTTCAGAACCATTAATTCTTGGTGAATTTTTTGGTGATAATTCTGAAGATGTATCCCCAGTAGGCTTTTCTTTGTCCTTTGCCACACTAACAGCCCCTTCAGTTGTTTTTAATTCTGCTTCTTCCTCATCCATTTCTCATTGTCTAATATTTGTCTCTTTAGTCTGAAATATAAGATAGAAATATCACAGCTATTTCAAATGCACACAGCCATTTAATAATTTATATTACTGGGTACAGTTCAATCCATCATCTTCAAAGAAAAAACTGACATTGGGTTCATCTGCAATTCAGTACCCACAATGGCAATTTAGAGGTGAGAGCGACAGATATTTTTAAACACTACGAATATAACATGGTATCACGTCTTTCACATTTTAAAACAAGTTCATCACAAGATGAAAATAACCTTTGAAAATTCTTGTGTTGAAAACTTTAATCATTAAAGAAGTGAGTATCGTAATGCCATAATATACGCCTTGTGTTCTTTGTTACAAGATATAGACAGTCCTGATATATATAAAGAATTCAATTGCTAGTAAATCAAACTAGGCCTAATCATAGTAATGCTTGAAAGAAATTTATAATGCTTGTTTTAGAAGTTGAGGATCAGCTGATTTTAGACTATCCGTCATCCGACATCACTGACATCAATTTTTTAATTTGTAACACAGAGTAACACCACTGTTCCAAAGAAAAAATATCTCAGAATGCTGTTTTTCATTCACAGAATGAGTAACTGACAGCTGTCAGTGTCACAATAAATAATCTTAAAGATATAACTTATAAGCTTGATTGGGAATTCAGGAAGTCAAGTGTTAAGCCAAAATGAGGATGAAAAATTTACATTTATATCAGTTGTCAACCCTCACAAAGATGATCATACATTCTTACAATTGAGAGTGATTAATATACCACAGAAGAGTTAAATTCCTGTATCAACATGCGTCATATTCGGCGCACGGAAGTGACAGTGATAAATTTTCTTGCAGTATCATAAAGTTTACTAGGCTTTCTATTACGATATATTGTTCTTCTGTGATTGCAAATTAGCATTAGACTGAAGACGCAACTTACAAATTACTATAATTACTGTAAAATGGTCAAAACAGAAGAAAAATGTTTTATTTGTTGACAAACAAAAATTAAACCGGATACGCGCGTCATACACTACATTCAATTTCCGGTACAAATTATCTGCCGTTTGTAAGGTGAAACGCAAGCAATCTTTCAAGCATCGGTGTTAGGTAAACATTTTGAATATAATACAATAATGTCTTTAATTAATTGACATTATCATATCACATTTATATAGCACTTCTGGTTTTATTATAAATCCTAGTACCTTAGTTTTTTAGGGCTTAACTGGTTTCATATGGACATCAGGAAACGGTTATTTGTTCAGATGATCGGTAATTGTATATAGGCGAATATAATGCGCACCGATGCACTACACGCACTAGATGTAGAATGTACTTAAAGACTTTAAGATATTCAATCTTGATGAATTCTTATTATAAAAAGTCACTCCATCTACAAATAGCCAATTATTGAAGAATTTGTCCCTTGTAGACATTACTTGTAGCCTTCAATCATGGAAAGAAACTTAGTAAGGAAATGAAGATGTAATTGTTTATCATAATAGAGTTGCTGAGCAATGCTAAGAAGCTTAGTTCAGCTTACCAAACCAACTACACTTGTTAACATTAACAATTCTACTCGGCTTATATCCAAGAAAAACTACAAATTTCCAGAGTTATTGGAATCTGATTTGGAGGAAAGTTTTGTGAGAGGAAGTGGTTCAGGTGGACAGAAAATAAACAAAACTAATAGTAATGTTGTTTTAAAGCATAAACCAACTGGAATAGTCATATCGGTGAGTAAATTAGTATTTTAGTACGGTATTGTATTTATTGATATACCTGATAAGTGTAAGAAGTAGACTATTATTGGTCTATATGGAGTTGCCTTGAGTGAAAGCTTTTTTACTAATCTTAAGGCACCTACCATGTTTTACGGATTGTCTTTAGATTGTAAAAGTAAAATTAGGTTTCAATTTTCTATTTATGGTTATTTCTCAATTTTTAACAACTTATTGGTGAAATTATTACTTTATTTCCTCTAAATTATCAGAATTCATGAATATAAGTAGATCTTGATTTCCAGTTACGAATTTTATAATTTTTTTCATTTTAGTGCCAAGATAGTAGACTCCAAAACGAAAACCGTGTATTCGCAAGGCAAAGATTAAAAGAAAAATTAGATTATTTGTATAATGGTGAAAACAGTTATTTTGCTTTGAAAAAGGCTGAGAATAACAAACAGAGAGCATCAACTAAAAGTAAAAATCAGAAGAAAAGAGAATTGAAATCGGCTTTTCATGAAAGAGAAGGGCTGGACTAAATGATTAATATATTTTGTTGAAAACTAAAAATGGCTGCTGAAATAAAGATTCATAAAGACAGGTAAAGTATAAATTAAGAGTTCTCAAAAATGATCATGAAAATGCTAGTTTTATGATGTATATCATTTGGCATGTCAGATTTCATTGTGAACTGTGCAATGGATGAACTGAAATTGGGCTATAATATCTGAGAATGCTGATATTTATACAACCACAACCTTCTGTTTTGTTATAGACAATTATACCTGTAATTCTTTCACATTTTTTTTATCCTTTAATTAAATATTAACAGGTATAATGGAGTGACTATAAAATCTGAAGAACAAAACCTGGAAGATATTCCACTATTTGTAGAGCAACTTAAAGGTAAAAGTAACATTTATTTTATTTAGAAACTTTTGAAGGATTTTTCTTTCCTTTCAGTTAATACATATTCTGCTTGTTTAGATTTTTTTATTTAACAAAAAGGTTTGTGATGTGACACAATTTGGCAATCACTTTAATTTGATCTAAATTACTAGCCTTTAAGCATTTACTCATTGTGTTCAAACCATGCCTCCATTTATCAAACTTTCTCAAGACTATATCCAAACCCGTATCCGGGATATAATGAGTATTGACAAAACAATGAATTAAAACAGGTTGTTTGATGTAAGAATGGTCCAGGTTTCGAGGGAAATTAAATATATTGTCATTGTAGTCATAATTATTAATTCATGGTCATTTTAGAAAAGTCATTCTTATGGCATGGGACAGAATCTTTGTCTGTAGTCTACTACATACTGCAAATGTCCCCTTTTCATATTACTTTTGGAGAAGAAAATGTAAAAATTCTTTGTATTCTTTAGAGTCACTTTTGAAATGGAAAGGTGAGAAGATTAGAGGAATTTGGTTTCAAGTAAAAAAACAAAACTCGGCTTTAATTCCTTCATTAATTGAGGTAAGTTAACATAAGTGTTGTAATATCCATTAATTTACATTAAAGATGGGTTTCCTTATTTTTTAGTGTCAAATTAAGCCAACTATTTGTTTAATTGGTGTTTCAAATTAATTATCATGTATTCTTAATCATATCATTATGTTCTTATTGCATATAATAAAGAGTTTTAACCAATTATTAATGTCCATGTATGTACAGTCTGGATAAACAAAACATAAAAAGACTTTCTTGATCGGTCACTCATTGGAATTCTGCTGGTAATTCTTTTCTAATTAAGCTAATTATGAATTAATTATGGACATATGAGACAAACTGGAATTTTTCTAATGAAAATAAGGGAACCCATCTTTAAAATGTTAAGAGTATATGATATCATAGTATGAAATATCCCTCATAAATATTAGTAAAATTTGTAATAAATATACCAAATCATGGCCAAATTCATTAATTAAGCTTTGTATTGAGCAAGATTAATGACAATGTTTTGATATTATGAACTCCATAATTAGTATTTAATTATATATAATCTAACAGGCCCAGTAGTCTAGGTACAGAGGCTTATTTACTTATTATACGGTATCCAGTCAGAATTTGTCCCATATTCATTCCATATCATAACATAACAGTTTTATTTTCTGTATTGAAAGATGTATTAGAGATTTGACAACTGAATGATTTGCCTTACATGATTTTTAGTTAGATTTTGAATATCACCATGCCCAGCCAGGTTACGTTATGTTGACTAAATGGATCAGTGATACAGAGCCTAATGGTTTACCACACTATGCCAATCAGTATATAGGTAATTGTTTTTAATAACATGTAGGGGTTGCTCCATTGGTGAGTTTAGCGTGGAATTTATGGAATCATTTTGATAAAACAAGAAAAAAATAGTAAGCAGGCATAATTCAAAATGGTCGAAAAAGAAAAAGATGGGAAAATATCGAATGTGACATATCTACTTTCATACCTTTCAATTGACGGCTGAATTGGAACAGGCAGAATTTGGATACATTCTGCATAGCATCCATTTCATAGAGTCTAAATAGCTCATAATATCTTTTTACATTGATAAGTAATATCATTATTTCATAATAATGATAATTTCAGGTGTAGGAGGGTTTGTGGTCAATGATAATAATGAATTACTGGTTATACAAGAAAAATATGCTGATAGAAGACTATGGAAGTTACCTGGTGGCCATGCTGACCCAGGTTAGTTGTTTATCTTAATGTAACTTTGATCAACCAAATCATCAGAAACATTTCACATGAAAGGGTCCTAATATATGTATAGATAATAAAATTGTTCATTAGGTATTTTGTTAACGTAATAGCTGTAAGATTTTTGTTATACCCCAGTAGTGAGAGGCACGACATGCTTACTCATCTGGAAATGTGAAGAATTTGTTAATCATCATCAGCGATGATTATTATATGGAGTCCACATTACTGTAACATTTCAATAGAACATTTTTGTTTCTCCAGGAGAAGACTTAGCAGACACAGGTGTCAGAGAAGTATTTGAAGAAACTGGTATTAAAACTGAGTTTGTATCCCTATTGTGTTTTCGACATCAACATCAATATAGATTTGATTGCTCGGATATATATTTTGTCTGTTTGTTGAAACCAATTGGGGGTAAAATTAACCCCTGTCAACAAGAAATAGCTCAATGTACATGGATGAATGTAAGATATTTTCTGTTATTTTGTTTGATCTTCCCATTAACTAGTTTAAATCGCAAATATAGGGAATTTTAATGCAATGATAACTGTGTTATTAACACAATAATCTGAGTTTATAATGGATCATAAGTTTTGCATATAAAATTCTCATACATATGAATTGTTGGGTCAAATTTTATTTTTCATTTGTTCTCATTTTGGGGTCCATTCAAAACAAAAAATGTAATTGCAGGTAGTTTATTGCTTCTTAATTAAAGACTAGCCTGTCTTGTATCCATTTTCCATAAAAAAAAATGTCTTGTTTGATTTTCAGATTGAAGAGTATATCAAGCTACCTGATTTAACAGAAACATTAAAACATATTACACAGTGTTATTTAAATATAACAGAGAATGGTAGTATATCAATAACACCTGAACGCATCAATAATTATAACAATACTTGTAAGAATAACATCTATAGTGTAGGACATATACAATTATAGTCAACTTCAAATTCATACAATACAACAACTTTAAGTTATGTTATACATTATGATTATTAACACATTCTCCAAAAGGTGTGCAATAGTGAATTTGTAATGAAGCAGTCACTATTCAAAAATATCCACTTTGTATTAAAAAAAAATTTGTTAATGCCTTACATACAATAGAAAAAGAGTATGATTATTCATTAGAAATTATTGTTTATGATTTACATATTATAGAATTAGTTGTAATTAATCATTAGATAATTGCATTAATGCTTTACATATTTTAGAAAGAAGTCCATGATATTCATTAAAATATGGCAATGATTTACATATTTTATTAAAAATTCATGAATATGCATTAGAAATTTATTTTCATGATTTAAATACAAAAATAGTCACGAATATCCATTGAAATTTTTTTTAATGACTTATAGAATAAATCGAAACCATACTTATTTATGAGCCTAATTAACAACCCTGAAAAAATATTGTTCAGGATTTTTCATTATTGATTTTGATGCATTTCTTATACACAGAATGCAATAATAATATTATTAAGATATTCAGTTGATTTTTGTGCCTTTCAGACTTACTAGTATCCAAATTTATGTATATCTTAGAATATTCTCAGGGTGATTTATGTTATGATTATTACTACTTGTAAATAAATCTTTAATTGAAAATAAACCATATTTAATATTTTAATACTGTTTTTACTGCATTCAATTTTGGAGAAATGAACATTTTATGACCTGCATCAGAAAGCATCCCCTGCATTTTGTATACGCCAATATTGATCAAGGTGGATGTATATTGTTTGTATCAATGTGTCTGTTTTCTGTAAAGACTGTAACAATTGTCCACATCAATGTCCTTCATGCAAAATACTAGTATTTTTGGGTCATCATTGCCTAAGATAATTTTGTACATCAAGCCACACTAATTACAAAGGAAATGTGAGAGGGAGTGTGTTCATAAAAACTGGAGTTCTGACTAAATCCTACAATGGTTTTTGTTTACATTGTCAAGTTTATCTTCCTTTGTTATTTATTCATCTCAGCAGAATTATCATTGTTTTATAGTTTTATGAACCAAATTTGGTTATAATATGTAAAAAAAATAATGGAAACAAACAAAACACTTGAATTCGATTTTGTTTTATTAACCCACACCTTCCTGTATAAAATACACACATTCTTGAGGTACTGCCTGAAATATACAGAAAAATATTCATATTATTTTATGTGATAAACAGCAACAAGTTCTATAGGACTTACTATAATATTAAGTTATATTTTTGGTCAAAAGTAGTATGTTCAATGCTATGAACCATTTTTCATCTAAGCTGATCAAGGTAATATCTCCAGTTGTATATTTCATAGATTGCTGTCTTATTATTGGAATAATCCAAGAAAAGTGGTGAAAGCTATAGTTAACTATCCACAAAAACTAATATTTCTATGAACTTTTCTTCAAAAAATATCTTGAACCACATTTCATTCTGTAGGTATCAATAATATCAACAAAGAACAAACTTAACTGGTATAAATCAGTAAAGATATTCATGCCTATCCATGTACGGTACACTACCTAAAGATTATAGTAGACTGATCATCTTCATGTTATCAATCGTACACAGATGAGCATAATTTGCTTGACTCTAACTTGTTACCAACCTGCATGGAACTTTTGATCAGAACTATTTTTCTCTCTAAAGAGTTTGACTGTTGATTTAATTCTATCATTATTCTAGTGTGTGGTATATGAGACCAGGCTCGTCCTAAACTAGGCACAGCATTACTACCTTCAGTATATACCACATTATTAGTTATCTACAAAAATAACAATGTGATTTAACATTGCTTTAGTAATGCTTATTCAATAGCATGAAATGTCCTACTTTTCAACTTTTGAGAGACATAAATTATAACAATCATAGCCTGTAGCACACAGGCCTTTTTTTGCAGCAATGAAAATCTTCATTCATTCAAAATTCATCAATAAGTTTAGCTTAAGCATGTTTCTTCTACAGATTATATAGTGCTTTAACCTCAAATATGCCAGTTTTGAGGTGATTCCAATTTAAAAGGGTTTCACTGTACAATGAGAAGTACTCTATGTATTGTCATGATGAAATCCAGGGTCTCTCATTGTGATCTATGCCATACGGAGAGTATCATATATTTAAAGCAGAACTTACCAAAACAGTTGTAGAATATTGAACAGCTAAATATTTCAACTTCTGTCCTAACTTGACTAGTAAACCATATCCTACAGAAGAGACAGTGACTTTCTATAAGGGATAAGACAATATTTCCAGAAGGAATAGTATGGATATGGGAATGGGTTTGAAAAAACAAAATCAGACTAAATCTACATATATGTACGCCAGCTATGAAAGTGTATACATATTCTAATGCTAGTTTTTTTTAATTTACGACACACAAGTTTGGATCTTTATTTTAGAAAGTGATATAGATGCCTGTAATTCAGTTAAAGCTCCTGGCAAAATGAATAATTCTACTATTTTGGAAAATTTTTAATACAAAAATATGAAAGTTTACCATCAATTTGATTGCCTCCTAATATAGGATAAATAACACTAGCTATACAGTCTACTATTATCAGTTTTCGTTTTTTACTGTCTTCTTTCTGAAAAGTCGATACGGACACAAATGTTCTGGACCAGAAAGTAGAGTTAGATAGTACAGTTAGACATGTACATGTATTCACAATTAAAGATGTTGTTAATGTTCCATACTGATTATAATTTTCAAACCTTTATTTTAATATTAATAATCAGTAGAGGTAATTCATTTAATATGGCATCACATAGATTCAAATATGTCTATTCACCACATCTAAAATATTCGATATTTTAATACATAAGAACACTATTATGGATATACTTTCTTTAATTTCTGCAACGTTTCAATTCACATACAGGAATCTTTATCAAGCGCATAGATAAATAATTCAATATTTCTTCCATGTTTCATTAAACCAACTAAAAGAATCTAAGTGCTAGGATTAGAAATAGTGTTAGAAGTTAAAAACATAGTACATCCTAGAAATGATTCATATATCAGATTTACAATATACCTTAGTTTGAAGTAATGTGATAATTTCTTCTAAAAATTCAAATATTTCAAATATATCAGAACAAACTTTATGTTGGATAGAAGATAACAAACTTTCTATATTCTGAAAATACAAAAAACAACCTTATTTTTAATCATAATTCACTAATAAATCTAAAACACAATAACAAGATTTGATAGTGGTTGACATTTAACTTTCAGAATTACTGGCCGTGGCATCTGAATTTTTCATACCTTGATGAGGATTCAATCCCACTGCATCTAATCACCTAGAACTAAAAGATGGCAATCCAACACACTACTGACTGAGTTATTCCACTGCAAAGTTTTGAGTAGTTAATGAGTTGTAATTTTCATGCATATTTGTAAATTCTGTGGCATCTACATTTTTCCATTATTTAAATGAAACTGAGAGTGCCAAGTTAAATTTATCTGCTAGTGAACATTAGATAAATACTAACTTATAAATACTTAAAATGATGAAATTGAGTTTTACATGCCTGTTTTGGCTAGTGAGGACAGACTATGCCGTACAGTATGCAATGAGTGAAATTCTGTGGGGATAGCAGCATTAGCCTATCTTGTTTGATTTCAAATTGTCAAGAGATCTTTTACATGCACATCCTGAAGCACACATTGCCTAAGTCTTGAATGGTGAGTTGACAACCCCAGATGTAGAGTGACGAAAGGTATCTTACCTCACACTGTTTACCTAGTAATTCATGTATTCTGGATGCACTAAAGCTACATGATGTATCTATATAATACACACTGTATCCATTCTTTAAGGCTGTACATACACAACTCATACAAAACTATAAGAAATGTTTTCATATAGATTGGTGCAAATCAGCTCAGCTTCAATATGTTTGAAGGGACTGGTGCGCCATTTTGGAAGGTTGATTTGAGTCTTGAAAATATGTAAATAGTCTTCAGAAGTATTAGAAATGTACGACAATAGCATAATTCCTTCAAAAAAATTCCCAAACTTAAAATGACGAGTCTGATAATTCTGGACACCTGTTGATTTGAAGGCTCTAGATTTTAGTGTATACCATGGTGTTCATAAAGTTTAGCAAAATTAAACTACAAAACTATAATGCCCCTTTCAATCATTGCAGGATAATTATGGTTATTTAGATTACTTGCACAAAAATTGTTCTAAATGCCACAAGGGGTAAAAAATGTATCTGTATAGTGTACATATATTTATGTGTTGTAATGTTTTTCACATGGAACAAGCGTCTAGTCGTTCGGATGGGACAATAAACCGAGGCCTCGTGTGCTACAGGCTGTGCACGTTAAAGATCCCTCATTTTTTTTGTAATGTTTTTCAAAAGTACACTATGAACACATAGTCACAAATACTACCAATCAAAATAAATCTGTTCACCCTGTTCTATCTTCTCTATACCTTATCCATTGGTGAGCTTTTGTTCAACTCACTAATGTGATCTTATAACCCTGATCATTCTTACTTTTTCCTATCTTTTTATTCATTAAGTCCTAAGTTTTCAAAGTGAAAGGACTGTTTCAGTGCTTTTAGATTTCATAAAGTTTTGGAGGGAACTTGTATCTCCAAGTTTCAGTTTTGCCATTCATATTTAATGGATTGTTTATAGATATATGGATTTAGTATAGTTAGGAATTAAATCAGTCTGTATTAAAGGTATGTTGTATTTCATGTTTTAAATTCTGCTTTTGTAAGTGTTTGCAAGTTTGGTGTTAGTTTTATATAAGCAAAGTGTATGACAGCCATCTTTAATTTTCAAAATTATTGCATGTAGTTCCATTGTGCACATATTTAAGTTCAGCTGTGGCAATTGTTATCATAGCAAAAGTAGTGTAGTAATTAATTGGTTCTTCTAAGTTATGATATTTCATCGTATCTTAAACCCCAACTTCTGGATATGTATTTTTATATTGTTACTGTATATTTAATATTTAATTATTTATATTAAGCATGTACGATTAAAGTGACATTAGATATAGTAAGTTTGTATTTTTAAGAATTAGCATAGTTGTAATATGTTATTTTATTCTCTGATTGTTATAATAAAGTTTATGAAAATCGAACTGTATGAGTTCTATATTAAATCTACGTCCAACCCTACAACATAATGAACAATAAAACAATTTGAAAAAATCTAACCATGTACCAGAATGACATTGGATAATCAAATTTCATTTCCTAAAGTTTTTCAAATGAATTTTTCATCACTTGAATATCGGAGTTGGATTATTATACTGATAGTGAACAAGCAAGTTTTTCAATTGATTAAGAAAAATTAGCCAATTGTTTGAACAAACAATATTAAATCAACAAACAACAAACAAACATAATAAAGTACCTAAAAGGAAATAGGCTGAAGATTCGATTAAAAACAATGCACCTTACGGTTCTAAAAATTACAGTTTTTCTTATTCTGCATTTCATGACATGGATAGCCTCCCATTTACCATTACAAATTTAGCACTAGTCAAAAGTTTCTGTGAAACTATCATATAAAAGATTTACTGACCTGAGTTTTACCAGTAGCAATCCCTCCACAAATCTCAGTTAACTCCCCTTCCTGTATTCCACCTTCTAATAATTCATCTAACCTTGAATATATTAACATACCTTGTTCAGTAGTGTTTCTATAGTGGGGAGGCGGGCTGGCCTGCCTCACCTAATGTTCCTAGAAACTGACCTTGACTTTGCTTTACTACCTAAGACACAAATGTTGAATAAGAAATCATCTTAAAAATAGTATACAGCAAAGAGACATGGAAAGCTAAGAATGATTTTAAAATGTTTCCTTAAATAGATGTTCCTAGTATGTACCAAAGTACCATAAAACTAAGCAATTATCCAAAAATCTTAAAATTAAGTTCAATGGATTTATCTGATTATACTGAGATTCTGTTGGGGGCTTATAGTTATGACACCAGCTAAGTCCACTGATTATCATATACTCTTATCGGTATATTATCTTTTGTTTGAAAATCTAATTATTTTGTGCATTCTAAGAGGTAGTATTCCTTTTAGACGTGCACTTTGCCATGGAACAACTCACCTTTCAGAGCCTGTAGATATAATTTTCCTCTCAAAACCCTGATAGAGATCAAACCCATTTTCAACTGTGGCAGAAAACTTCTTATGAAGTTCTTTCTTTAAACAAATCAAGTCCTATTAATATAAGGCAATGTATATTTTGATTAAAATTGATAGTAGTAGATTGTGGATACAACAAAAATTAGAAAGGCATACTGCAAACATGCTTTTACCAAATGAGCATGCATGGCTCGCCTATCTAGAATAAAATTATTGTCTGAGCAAGATCGTTGGAATATCGGATTTTGATCATTTTAATTCAAGTGAATTTGAATTAAGTCTTCAAAACAGTACTGATAATCTTAGAATGAATAACGATATGATATATTGGCTGCCCTACTTTTTTTTTAATAAGAGGTTGATTGATTTCTTGATAGTTTACTTTCACTTTCTCATATATTTTCTTCAAGATTTCTTCCTCATCATGAATTAAAAATTCGGTGACAGTAGAAAAACCGTGATCTTTTAAGACAGAGACAACATTTTGTAAATGATCTGGTACTAGATTTGGTCGTAGCAGCGACATATTATCTTAAATAAAAAGAAGAACATAAATTGATTAAGTTGGTAAACTGATCTTGTTATACCTTTTCGCTCTCAAGAGTAGAGAGCAAATCAAGGGAGATAATTTTTGACAAACAGGACTCACTCCACTAATTCATTTGCCATCTCTTCCCATGTTAAAACACGAAATTCAACCTTCTATAACTTTTTCCAGAAATCTCGTTGAAAGCTTTCCAACATGTCGAATGAAAGCCTGACCAATTCTCAATGTCTCCTAAAAAAGTCATTATATGATGACCATGAAAATTTTGAGCTACTAAAATTGAAAGTAGACTACTACCGGTTATATTCATCCGCTAGAGTTTGGCACTTCACAAAACGACTATTTTTAGAATTAGCCTTCCGCCTTTAAGTCTCTCATCATCTCACCAAATCTGAAAGATAATGCAATTTCAGGCATCAAATTCCAAATCTAGACCAAATTTTACTCAAAAAGAGGCAGGCAAAAACCCCAAAAGGGAGAGAGAAAGAAGATTTCTACAATCATTTGCATAAAATGTTTTAGTGGAGTGAGTCCATAACATCAACGAATAGAGCTCTAAATAGAATGTAAGTATGTTTCAAAGCATGATTACTTTTATTGCGCCAAGTTTGGCAAAAATATTGAAATTTTATTTGAAATGTCAAAATTTTCATGATATCCACAAAATATAATATTACGTATTTGATACGGCACTTGTTCAGGTTGTTTAAAGTAACTGTGGTCTGAATTTCAAAAGTTAGTTCTCACCCTTCAACTGAGACGGATCAGTTTCATTTGTTACGTTTACAATGTTGTATAAAAATAGCTTGCGAGGCAAAGTAACAGACTCCCACCATCAGCTGTAACAGCTGTCAAAAATGATAACAAAGTCTTTACTGACTGGCGACGGCAATAAGGTATACGTCCACATTTCCATGTGGGCGTATAAAAACTATAAAATAGCTTTTTATCACGTGTTAGGTAGTGTTAAGAAGTATCTTATATCAAACAAAAGTATAATAACATGGTGGCATTTTGTTCACCATATTGATCATTCAATGTCAAAACAATCCACCCACATTAATTGCAGGTGTATCTTATCACATATTTTATTCTCTATTTATTACCGCAGCCGTAGGGTAGATGAGTATTGGTCAGTCATACTCATGGATTAACTTTTATTAAGGCAAATTTTCCCTTATAATACAAATGATATATTCCTTCTTCAGGCCTTAAAATACATGAATTAGATGAGTAAATAAACTGGCTCTAAAACGTTTGATAGTTAAGTCGTCGGATTTATCTTAGTCATCTGAAAGCACTACACGTCACTCTATGGATGTAAATTGTATTTTGTAGATCATTGTACCAGAATATCCTTCTGATCATAGAACTGTAATATCAAAGGTGGCCTAATATTAACATGCGTAGACTTTATCGAATCAAGGTGGTATTTACAATCTTAACTTTTCTTCTGATTTTGTATACTTTCATTCAACAGAATGGGATTAGCAGCAAGAAAAAGGTGAGACCTATCGTCAACCCTTTTTCGGGGGGGCAAGCTATCTTTCAGTTAAAGTCAATTATATTCTGAAGTGGGCCACATTTGCAGGATAATTTGGAAGCTCCAAGCCTGAAGGTCCAGGGTTCATTCTAGGTTTAGGTCAATTAAGATATATACCTGCAGGTTTTTAAACATCAACTCCAAACCTGATGCAGGGGAGTCGCTGTGGCTCAGTGAGTTAGATGCCTAAAGGTCTGGGGTTCAATCTCAGCATAGGTCGAGATTATCCCTTCCGATTTTCAACTCGGTTTCGCGGCAGTGAATCAGGTCAAATGGACAACATGGAAAACATGGAGGCCCTGTGTGCTAAAGGCTGTGCATCCCTCGACAGTTTGAAATAAAAAAAGAGATGGCTAATGCCGCTGTCCTGGCAAAATTTCATTCATTGCACACTACACAGTATTACAAATCTTTATTAGCCAATCAGGTGCAGAAAAGTAGGATGTAAAACTCCAGTCATGTCATTTCCCTACCTGATGCAAAAAACACAGTGTGATTCATCATTTTTGGGAACATTAAATTGAGACCCTGTGTGCGTATGGTAAAGGTCTCTTGCCAGTTGAAATAGAAAACATGTACTAGTAAAATTTCTTTTGTTGTGCATTAGCCAGTCTTCATTTGGATAGTCAGGTGCAAAAAAAGTGTATTCAAAAAATTGCAAGCTACCAACTGATTAATATTTGATTAAACTGAATCATTATTGAAAATATTCAGTTTATTTTTAAATTTATAAATAATTGATCAAGTAAACAGTGCCTCACTATTAGATATCTTTTATGTGTTCAGCTAGTAGCACATCAAGCCATAGGAATTTTTTATTTTATGTGTTTTTGAGAGTGATTTCTCATCACCAATTGATATCCATTTTTGTCTATGTTATAAAGTTATATTTTTGTTTCAGTTACCAAGGATAATGCAAGTTCATGTAGGTGTATAATTTATGTAATTTTAATTTGAGATATACATAGTGTTTGGAAATTACAGCCCTTTCTTCCACAGCCTAAACGAAAATAGATATGGACAAAAACTTTGGACAAACTCCCCTTTATCCAAGCACTTCGGTAATTTCTCTTCGTGGGACGTTTAAACTTGGTTTTCCATCGTTGTTCACTGGTTTTCAAAGTATTTCCTGTCCTCTAAAATTTTGTTATTTGACCTTGTGGAAAAGACATATAATATTCTAGCTGTGGAGAAACCAGTGAAGAGAGAGAAATAGCAAATGGTATTTCTAGTTTGAGAAGGGATAACTCTATTTTCATTTAGTTTAATCCGCCTATTTATTCAAGGCCCCCAAAAATCCTCAAAATGCTGATTGTTGCTCTTTAAAAATATTAGATACACAAGAATTACTACAATAATGTGAAAATACAACTGCTGTATTTTTAATGTTATTAAACTAAATTATAAAAGGAAGGTTTATTAGAGCCATTTTGTCTTGATAAAATTTTATATTTACACCAAATAAATGCCAGAAAGGTTAAGACTAGTAGAAGAGGTACAAAAGCAGAATTAAAATATTTTATTGATATACAATAATATTACTTTTCTATTTAGATATATTCTTCCAAGTTTAACAGTGAACAGAAGCCACCTCTACAGGTAATAATACAGTCAAAATGTTCTCTATATCAATACTGTTGAATTTTTCTACACAAAAAACCTTTTAGAACATAAATCTGACTATAAGGTAAAAATCAACAGATTTGGCCTATTGATCTTTGGAGACCAGTTGAAGCCAACAACTGTGGTTCATTCTGAAAAATCTTTTTGCTGCCTGGTGATATTTTCCATATATTGCACACTGCATGGTGTTTGCTGTTCTGTAGTAGACTATACCAGACCTCCTATTACAAAGGCTGTTAACGATAATATTCGTGATAACAACTCACGAATCTCCAAAGAATTTTTGTAGAATGAGCCATTTCATTTTTCAGCTGTTTCTTCATTCAGTGAAGGATTTTGTTGTTTTTTTGATTGAACCCAAAGTATTATTGTCAATAGTTAAAGAGGAATATGATATCACCAGTAAGGTCTATACATTTGGTATGCGAGCTGATAAAGGACATACATTAAATGTAAGTTTAAAAATAACTATTTGGAATAATAACTACAGGTTGTAAGATATTGTCACTCTTCAATTAAAACAGAATATAAACAACCATAAAATTTTATATCTATATTTGTTAATTTTTCATTATTCTTTATGAGACGAGCAAAGTTTCAAGTTGAGCACTTATAACACTCTCCCTATCTATGAAGGATCCACGTTCAATTAGCCTCAAGAACTTCAGTGAATATTATGAAAATATATAATGAAAATTAAATTCAGTATTATGAATACAGTGAAGAGTATCGATGCTGATGCTTTACAACTTCTAATACCCAAAGACTGAATTGGTCAACTAGGCCTATAATTTTCTATTGGTCTATTTGTTAGTATTATAACATGTTCCTGATTGTCTTTATTTTACTAGAGTTCTAATATATTTAAGTAAGTATGAGCTATTAAGATTTTTCTGCTTCCAATGTAGCGCTCAAATGTAAAACAAGACATCTTCTGGCTAGTAAATTCATATATAAAAGGATACATTTTTGGCTCAAAAATATTTCCTCTTCCAGTGGAATTCTATATCTAAGAATTGGCCTAAAGGCAAAAAATTTTAGCCATATTTTTTTTCTAAATTATAGAAAAGGAAAATAGTATAAATTTCTTGTAAACGCATAAACCATATTTCCACAAAAACTGGATTGAAATATGTATCAAAATTGATTAGCGTTTGAGATGAGCTCCATTGCAAGCAATTGGTTTGTTTACTTGCTTTTTTTCCTTTTTTTATATGCCCACATGAAATGGGGGGCATATATTGCCGTCACCCATGTCCGCCCGTCCACAATTGCTCGTAAACACTGTACAAGACACAATTCTTGCCCTCAATTTTTAGCTTGTAAACACTCTTGAAGGCACAATTCTTGACGAATTTTGATGAAACTTGGCGTGAGTGTTCATTATAACCCAAGTGTGAAGCCTATTGAAAATCAGAAAAAATATTTAGTAGGAGTTACTGCCCCTGTTCTTGAGAATGCGTTCAATTTTTAGCTTGTGTACACTCGGGAAGGCACAATTCTTGATGAATTTTGAATGTTCATTATCACCCAAGGATAAACACTATCGAAAATCAGAAAAATCGAAAAATATTTAGTATCAGTTATTGCCCTTGTTCTTGAGAATGTGTTCAATATTTAGTTCGTAAACATTCTAGAAGGCTCAATTCTTGACAGATATTGACGAAACTTGATGAAATCGTTTATTATCACCCATGGATGAAGAAAAAAAAATCAAAAAATGTTCCATAGGAGTTATTGACCTCATTCTTGAAAATGTGTTCAATTTTCAGCTTGATAACATTTAAGAAAGCACAATAGGTTGTAAACTCTTTAAAAGGCACCATTCTTTCTGGATTTTGACAAATATTGTTCAAAAGAACTGTATGACTTCAGGTTGAATATTTCATACTAGTGATTGTTAATGTACTTAAATTTTTATTTAAAATCAAAGCTGCCAGTGGGCCTATATCATCTTGCCTGGCAAGCTATCTTTTGGTTTTGTTACTGATGGTTAAATTAAATGTAGTTAATTGTAATATTTATTATTAGTTATATTTCACAGTGTTTAACTTTTTTTTATCTTGTTACTTTTATTAAACTAACAGCAACTTAAAGTCGCTCTTCTATTTCTTTCGAGTGATTCATAGGTCAATATTTTGCTCAAATTTATGAAAACTGTACACTAGAATCTAGAGAAATGTGTCCCTTAAAAGGATACTTCCTCTTATAATGGACATAAGATTCAAAGTCTCAAATTTGTGTAATATTCATCAGTTGGACTTACCAGGTGCCATGAGTAAAGAATAGAATCTATATATTAGACGATATATCTGATAAACTATATAATTATTGGAACCCGCTTCCAAGTATGTTACTTCGTTTAATAGATTATTACATAGTTTATTGATTTATTGCATTATAAAGGGATTCTAATTGTTTTAAAAAAAATACATGGTCGTTGGTCTTCTAATGAAGTGGTGGATTATCAGTCGTTAATTAAATTAAAAGTTGTAAGGGGGCATTATTGTGGTGCATATCAAAGGTGGTATTTAAGTGAAGGTGGTCGCATGAGCAGGATTCATGGTAAATTTTTAAAGGGGCATTCTTCTTTTTTTTCGTAGGTCAAAAATGTGTTTCTTATTTATTAAAACTATAATAGAGAATCTAGATAATGTGTCCCTTCATAAACTATACAAATCTTGCCATTGATTTTTTAATGCTAAAACCAGTTAAAATGTTTACGTAAACTTATGTTTTTTTTGGTAGTTTTTAGAAAACCACAGTATGGATTTAAGCAAAATAAAGGCCTATTGTAGAGATGTGTGTCCTACAAATTCTAAAAGGTTTCAACTAATGATACTGAGTCTTTATGAGGCTCAACACCAAAATTACTTTAAGCTGCTTACTTAACAATTAGTACACTCTGTTTTCAATTAACCCTTTTAAAACAAATTCAGTTTGATCAAGTAGATATTTAGAAGTAAATAGCATTCCTTAGAAATATTTCAGGTATAATTTATGACAGTTTTGATGATGAAAATTTTGCATATTGCCCCTTAAATTAGTAGTAAAGTATTGTCTAGCAAGAACCATCATTATGATCATGACCATTTTTTTCATTGAATAAAAGATACATAACCACTGAATATTTCACATTCCAGCTGATGGAGTTTCATGTTTCAAAATTTAGATGTCATCACTTAATCACATTAACGATATATTATTGATCATAGAACCTGAATGTGAGACAGTCTATACTTAAATGGAATATTTTTACTGAATTGCATGATAACTGGATTTTAGATTTTGAGTCCTGAAAGTGATACAGATAGTTATAATTAGACGACAATATGCTTGAAGGGTGATTCCTTGATGCTGGCAAGATGAATGTGGACTGATACCATATTATATGTATAGTCCTTTTCAATTATTGGCAAACAGCAGTCAACCTATTTTATTTTTCAATTTCAGTTGTCTGTCTTGGATGAATTGAAAAATCATGGGTTCAATGTATTCCCAGTGGATTCAAAGGAGAATGACTTATCTCATGTGATCTTGTATCACCAGTCCAGTCTGCTTTTAGTTCATTTGATTATGTTTCATGAGAAATGGAAGGGCTTTATAAAAAGTGAAAGCCTACTGGTGTCATCCTTTCCCAGTTGGCTTCCACATACCAGACTGAATTTTGGAGAATCTGCATATGGATATAATAGGTAGTTGATCTATTTATCTTTTTATAATGTGAAATTAGGTTATTGTACCCCACAGTGATTAATGACTTTGTATCCCAAACATAAAATTTGAAAAAATTAGAATTGAGCAATCAATAATTCATATTTGGAAGATCAAAAATTACAAAAAAAGATCAGATGAAAAGTTGGATACGTCAACTTTCCATGACAGACTATTTCTATATCTTTGCAGATTAGAGCTAGCTAAGGTCCATTTGAATAATGATAATTTAACCCTTTATATGCCAGCCAATGTGGGTCGCTTTGTTGACGAAGAAATTCCAGAATCGACCTTCATAGAATGCGATAACAGAAGGGTTAATTTGTTTTATGATTCTTACCCTGACTACAAAGTGTACTACAGAAATTTTCACTACAAGGCATCCATACTATTACATGATTTAAAACAAGCAATGGATGATGCAGGAATAAAATTTTGGCTGGAAGGTGGAACACTGCTAGGTATTAGTATTATTATCTTCACAATATCAATATATTACGAACTTCATTTTATACTTTATAACTTTAGACTATTGTCACTTCATGGACTGATATTAGGCTACCCCTGACCTGTAGCACTGTTGCTTAGGCATCTTCCCAATGTCAAGTTAATACGAACTCTGTTTAATACCTTGACTTAAAAAGGCACTTTCATTTGTAAGTTTGCATTGGAAGTTTGTCAATGCAACAATTTGATTGGATTGTACAGCTTTTGACAGAAGTTTGTATATGAAGCAATCAATTGGATTGTAAGGTTTTTGTAAATCAGTCACTCATTGAATTCATGTCACGTGAGTGGAGTATTTTCACTGTCTTCGTTTCTCTGTATCAGAATCAAATTCCTATTTTTAGTTTGTCTGTAATAAAAAAAAATCAGAGTATAACCTTAACTTGAGATGACTGTTTAGAGTTAATTGTTGAATCTTTGTGAGGTTCTAGAGCACAGTCGGTTAGAGCGTTGGTTCTATACATGACGTCATTTGCTTGGTTACGCCGAGCGAATGGCGGCTGTGGGTGTGTGAAAGACCGATGACGGATAGGCCTAATCCTTGAAGATCAATGCCAAGAGGCTTGGACAAGGACTAGCTAGTAGAAAGGATCCTTAACTTTGAACCTAAGTTGTTATCCCTGTAAAATATAGTTGTTTCTTTCTTTCTTTTTGTCTCAATTTAGCCTAGGCCTACCATTTTCACCAATTTTGTGTGTTAAGAGCTGTATAGGTTAAAGATCATGAGGCATAAAGAGCTCGAGAATCAGAAGTATCGTATTTTAAGTTACATTTGATTTTTATATAGGATGGTATCGACAATGTGATCTTATTCATAATACTCGTGATATGGACATTGAAATATATGCTAAACATTATAAACCAACAATGAAAAAATCTTTAGGATCACACGACTTGTACTTGATTCGAGAGTTGGGAAAGGTAGGTATATTTTTACAGTTTGATAGGACTAAGTACCAAATATTAACTGTCAGTTTTGTCTGATATATATTTATGAGGTCAAGTTTGATTTGACAATCAAATGTAAAAGCATGTCAAATTTGGTTTGTAAATACAATAGAGAATTCTGTTTTCATCTGATCTTGATGAAACTAAGTATTCATATTGAAATTTTGAACTATTGAAATATTGTGAACTACAAATGCATTCATTTTTATACGCCCACATGAAATAGGGGGTATATTGGCATCGCCCATGTCTGTTCGTCTGTCCGTCTACAATTGCTCGAAAACACTCTAGGAGGCACAATGAACCCTATTGAAAATCAGAAGAATCGAAAAATATTCAGTATGAGTTATTGTATTTGTTCTTGAAATGCTTTTAAACACTGTAGAAGGCACAATTCTTGACTGATTTTGATGAAATTTGGTTAGATTGTTTGTAATCATTCAAGGATGAACCCTATTGAAAATCAGAAAAATTTATTATTGCCCTTGTTCTTGACAACGCATTCAATTTTAGCTGGTAAACATTCTACTAAATAATTGACAAATTTGAGAAAATCTGGTGTGAGTGTTTGTAATCACCCAAGGATGAACAGATATGTAAAGAGTTATTGCCTTTGTTCTTTGAAACGCTTGTAAGCTTGTAAAACATTAGAAGGCACTATTCTCGACTGATTTTGACGAAACTTGGTATCACATAAAGAAATGTCTGACTAAAGGTTGAATATTTCATTCTGTTACTGTACTGCCAAATATTTTTGTTTAAAATCAAACCTGCCAATGGGTGTATATAAACTTGTCTGGCAAACTATCTTGTTTGATGTGATTTTTTTTTTCACTAGTTGCAAGACAGTTTTGAGATGACGTTTAAGAAATATTCTATTCGATTAGATGTGTTTTGTCTTTATGAAGGAAAAGATGACAATTGGACAGGAGCAGTGGGTGGAAATGGTACAAAATACAGGTGAGTCATTTAGTGCTTGCAGGACATATTGGTGAAATTATACACACAATCGTAAATAAGTCGGCCATTCTTGCTACGCCTGACAATAACTGTAAGACAATGAATGCCGTAGATACGAATGATTGTAAACTGTGACAAGACATGTCACAATACGCTTAACAAATCTATACTTCACAATACCATACATACTAGACAAGCATGTTTACACAAATAACTCAACGTTATCCAAATGCATGAAATGTCTGATTCGTCAGTGGAGACAATGATTAACAATTTGTATTGTTATCAAGAAACAGTTCCTACATGAGTTGATTTGATTGATTAAAACTAGCCTCATGAGAATGGTTCTTTGGTAGAAAACCTGTTAGATTACAATTCAGACAAAAAAATATTAAAAAAGAGGTATAAAAGAAGTAATTTAATGCAGACAATACATAAATGAAGGTCCCAGTTATATAAAAGAGTAGGCTAATGCTCTAGTCCAGACAAAATTTCTGTCAAGCTACTTGGCATTATCAGGAACAAAATAGTGAGCTTATAATGTCAAACAAACTCATTGCATATCCTCTTTTTTTATTAGCCCATATGAAATGGGAGGCGTATATTGACGACTCCCATGTCCCTCCCTCCCTCCGTCAGTCAGAAGGCACAATTCATATTGGATTTTTGACGAAACTTTGTGTGAGTGTTTGTAATCACCCAAGGATGAACAAAATCAAAAAAATCAAAAAGTATTTGGTATGAGTTATTGTACATGTTCATGAAAACACTTTCACATTTTGGCTTGTAAAGACTTAAATGCATGATCCTTGCCAGATTTTGACAAAACTTATAATATTATATAGTATTGCCCTTAAAAGTTCAAAAGAAGTTTATGAATAAGGTTGAATATTTCATACTGGTGATTGTTACTGTACTGCTAAATATTTTTATTCATAATCAAAGCTGCAATGGGCATATATTACCTTGCCTGGCAAGCTATCTTTTTTTAGGTTTATGATACCTAAAATTCAATTATGTTGGGGTGAATTGCTTGGAGTTCCTGTCCGTGTTCCTTGCAACACGTTTGAATTTGTAAAAAAAGTATATGGTGATGATTGGAATAAAACAGCAGAAAACTGGATATGGGATGAAAGCCCCAAAAATTTAATAGTGGTGGGGGAATACTCTGGAGAAGAAATGGATAAGTACAATGTTTCAATGGAATCCTACATAGATATCATAAAGGATTGGTTTCGCAGTATCTTTATTGAGATTTATTATTTCTTTTTTTTCCTGAATCTGACCCCCTAGTCCCAATTCTTACTGTGAAAATTTTAATTAGATATCAAAATCCGTTCCAGTAAAACTGTAAAAGAAAAAACATTTGCATAGATTATACACCGAAAATTGTATTATCAAAAGTTCCCGTTGAAAATTGGTAGTTCGTTGTGTTTTGTTCTTTCAAATAAGGGACTCATTACTTATAGTAAAAACCATAATGCATAATGTCATTGCATTTGTGTGCATCGAATATTTAATTGGTCTGGCGGTAACAACCAAGCTTTCATATAACATCAATTGATTAAACAAAATGTTAATAAATATGACAAGTTCGAGTCGAAATGTGATAATTTATGTTTGAAATTGTCAAAAGATCAAGTGTTTGTGTGTATTGTACATTAGGAAGTGTTTCAAAGAAGAGAACGGAGCCACGTAGATTAGGTAGAGTGCAGTCAGGATGATAGTGTCAGGAATGAATGTGTAAATTTGAAATTTTTAATGTCTATTAAATTTACAATTATATTTATTTCATTTTTCAACAAATGTTCCTCATTGATTTTTTTACAAAATGCATTCCAGGCATATTGTTCATGCAAAATTTGGTAACATTCATGCTATAGCTGATACATGTATTTCAAAATTCATATGAGTGTATATTAATCATAAATCATATAAAACATAAGCTTATTAATGTTACTATTGGCCCTAATTGGAATAAGCCCTATGTTAACTTTGTTATCAATGTATCAACACAAAATAGTTATTACAAGGCCTAAACACTTTAACTGATAATATAATATTTATCAAAGAATTTCAATATTATTATGTTTTTAATCTGATTAGAAAATTTTGTTTTGTTGTTGTATTTACTGATTTGTTTTTGTATTTTTTGTATTGGCTGCTTTGTTTTTGTGGGTATCTGCTGAAGAACATTGCCTATAGCACAGGGTACAACTATCTTTTTTTTTAAACTAGTCACTTTTGTTGACACTAAATTTTGTGTTATATTTTTATAGCAAATTTTAAGTTGTATAATATTTTGTTGTATGTTTGTTTTGTCATTTTAGATACTTTAGCTGCTAATTTTAGTAAAATGTATTATGACGCTGTTATATTATCAATTTGCACCATTCTAAGTAAGATTGAGTGATTCTTCTTAATTATGTCACTATTGCAAAAGGTATATTTGATATAGCCTTTAAGGAACTTCACAATAGTGACGTCATCACAAACTGATCAGTGGTTGGGAGATGAAAAATGAGATTAATAAACAGCCAATATGGGAGAAAGGAAAAAGATGGAGAAAGAAAGCCTTTGATTTACATGAATAGAACTTGCTCCTAGGTGGTACCATACTATAATATATTCAAAGTGCATAAAATGCATGATATACGTCTACACACACATTCAATTTATGTTTTTCAAAGGCTTCCTCCCTCCATCATGTAACCAGGATAACCAGTCTTTTTCCCTTTTTCCATTTCTTATTCTTGGACATTTTAGGGAATTCCCGTATCCCCAACTGTCCGCCACTGTTCAAGTGTTCCATATTGACATTGTGCCTTATATTTAGTGGACCTAAATGAATTTGTGCCTAATTGGCGATGAAATTGTGCCGAATAGTAATAATGTGCCTAATTGAAGTTGTACCTAAGTCACTGTGCCTAAACGCTGTGCCTACATGACCTGTGTCTAAATCAGTGTGTTTAAAGTACCGTGTCTAACCGACTTGTGCTTAAAATAGGCAGTGACTATTGTTAATAATTCCCCATATTTTCATAATTTTCTGACGAATCTGAAAACGCCGAATCATTATAGTTTGATGTAGAACTGCCCATGTAAGGCGTACCTTGTGGCACCGGAGGAGGGGGTGTTTGTGGTACACTCTTTGGTGTCAAATAATCATCGCCTGCAAAACACAAGAAATTAATTATTTGTAAAATGACATTTGAAGTCTGTGTGTCAAGTAACCCCGTTTCAGCAATTTGAAAGTTAATAGATGGTGTACCCCCACATCATTTCCAACAAATGTACAAAGAACATGATTTGTATCCCAGTTTGCCCTAAAAGATGTGTCATAAAAATAGTTCAAGGGAGAACTCTCTCTCCATGGGAGGCTTCCACAGAACTGCTACATCAATGGCTGTTGTGGGGATATTCGGACGAACTCCTGTAATATGCAACATGGCGATACCTGTTATCATTAAACAAGAAGGAACAGCAAATCTTCCTTATCATTATCCGAAAAAGGCGCGAGAACTTGAAGTAAAACTACTAGTACTAGTAGTTGAGTAAAGATGCTATTATAGCCTACTAACCGTTGGATTTGATCTTTTTTATCATCATTACAGCTATAAATATAACTATACACACTAAAATACCACTTACGGCACCAATAACTATACCAATATACCAACTGAACGGTGGATCAGAATCCTTAGATTTTACAACCAATTCGAAATCTATCAAAATCTTCTTACTTTCAGAGGACAGTTCCGCAGTGTAAGTACCGACGTCTTGTTTTTGTACAGAATAGATGGTCATTTCCATGGAATTTGATGTCTGTCCAGAATTTTTCTTGATTCTGTAGTCGGTAAGGAACTTGAGATCTGTTATCATACTGCTCATACGCCTATACCATGTTATGTTGGTGGGTTTCCTATCACCAGCAAACAAAACTCTGAACACGGCATCTTGGCCTAATTCCACTTCTATTGTTTTATCCATTTCATCCTCCAACACTATAGTTTCACCTGAAACAATATCATTGAAATGTCGGTCGCAAAAAAATACATAGGATTCTATCAAAACACGACATGAAAAAATTATCGCCTGAGTACACAACAGTTTCTTGATGGTTCATAACAATTATTGTGCAATCTCCAATAGTTTCGAAATGCCCTACAGCAGTATATTGGTGCCCTAGACCCAGGTAATGAATTTTTGAAAATTGTTTCATCTGGGTCAGGAAGTAAAGCAGCAATGTTATATCGGAAAAATATTACATACACGTCGGGTCCAAACCCATATTCATCATCTGAAAGATATTTTGTTGAGTACAGGCTTAAATTTACGATCATCCGTCATTGATAACTTTCAGAAGAAGACAATTTTTGGCCATCTTAATTGTACCTATAATTTGTACTCATTACAAAATTTCAGCAAATTATGACCAAAAAGTAACTTACATCGAACTGTCAAATTAAAGGACCCAACGCATGGGAAACTGGCACCATTTTCTACCGAATAGAGGAAAGTATCAACATTATCTCGACAGGATGTTTGAATTCCTATTGAAGCATTGTTAATGTGTGTATTTTTAAACTCTTCTATTTTAATAACTCCTCTGCGATTACTGCTCCAAGTAATTGTATATGGTATTGTGCTGTTTATCCCAACAGTTACTGTAGCTGTAGACTGGAGATTTAAATTTTCCGGATAATTAAAATAGAAAATCTGTGGACTTTCTGAAAAATAAAGAGTTGCTTTACTCAAAGCAATTGCCTCTCCCGTCCTCTTTCGGCTGCAGAAAAGAGACTAGCCCGGCTTTGTGGCCTGTGACTCCCCACCCACATACTGAATTTTTTGGGCCTATTATCGCCTATTATTTCCTAGAAAAGCCTGTTCCCGTTATAGTTAGATCATATTGAGTGAAATTATCGCCTAGCTTTGCTCTTACTTAAAACATTGCGCTAGGTGTCAGTCAGAATCATACGAAAATTGAAATAACGCACACGAACGTAGTTCACAACTATTTTGGATCTCTTCTTCGACTTAATAAGTCGAATTTTTAAAAGGCTTCATTATTTCAACAAAGCCTGATCGAACGTCACATATAAAGCCATTTCTAAGCTCTTTTAAAAAAATCCACTTATTAAAAGATTCAAAAGTGTTATTTCCATAATCAATTTTCGTAGGTTCGTGAGTCAGGATGTAACGTGATTGTGAAATTCTTAACCATTAAGTGAACCATGGAAAATTTAGCCAATGCCGCTTGGATGGAACAAAAGTGTGCCAGGTTCTAACAATCTTTAGAACTGTGGTAACAGTAGTCTTGAGCCCATTGCTTCTAAGATACGCATCTGACATACCTGTATGATCAAAGCTATAAGTTTTTTCTTGGTCACTATGGCGGCACGTCCAATTGGCACTTGTTTCTTTCCATTCTATAATATCTGTTTTATGCATTTTAACCGCCATTTTTTTATTTTCATTGTCAATTTCATAACGGTAGAGATCATCTTGAATTTTACACTCGCCGGCTCGATATGGGGCTTCACAACTGAACACCGTTAACCCGTTATAAATCCATTTTACGTGTTCTTTTATTTCGTCGAAGCCACATTTTATTTCATAAGGTTCTTTATAACGCACAGTTATAGAACCTGAAAGATTTTCAAGAAACATCTGTGAAACGTATGCCATACATTGAACCAATACAAAAAAGTTTCAAATTTACACAATATGGATGTGGATAAAAAGGTAATTTTATAATGCTTACCCTTGTTGAATATCTGATGCCTCTATTTCACAAGAAAATATAACAAGAAGTCCTTATCTATCAAATAGTTATATTCCTTGGTACTTCCCCACTAAAAAGATATAATATAACTTACTGTCAGCCCAATAAACCTGATTGGCAATTAATCCACTGATTAGCAGCAATTTAGTAAACATTTTATCCAGTAGATATGAACATCAAACAATAGACCTTCATATTGAAATGTCATGCGATTTTGATTGTTTTGTTATTGAAGTACATTATCATGCCATTGTTATAAAAATACAAAAAAAATTTATGCAGTAAAGCTCTTAATGAAGTGTAAGTCCGATTTTCTTTTTTGACATGCCAATTTTACAGACTACTTTCTTAACATCTATAAACTGTGTATTCAAGAAACATGTATTTTATTTCTGTGCATATATTAATTTTTCGCCAATAGATTTCTTTACTTACCTGACCCAAGCCATTGGAATGTCACACCATATATGTTTGGTGTCAGCAATCTTGTCCTTGTCTAGTGGCATAAATTGCAACACTCAAATTTTCTTTATTTACAAAGGAAAACCTTTCTTTATTTAAAGAATGTATATTTTACAATTATATTTATAGATCACAGGTGGATTTAAATTGTTACAAAACTACGTTTGGTAGATTTTGTGTAGATGTAATACAGTCAAGAATCATTGATGGAAGTGTTAAGGATGTCTGGATTGTTTCATTTGTTTCTTCATTTATTTAAAGAACATCCATTTTATTATTAAATGAATTTTTTGTTTTCTACTTCACATCAATGGATGTTATTAATTAAACAATATATTTTCTAATGCTTTTTTTAAATGAATTCTGCTTAGCCATATTTTGCATGGATAAACTCTGATATGATTATTTGAAGAGGAAGAGGGAGAGTATGGGAGACCAAATTAATGTAAAGTTGTTTGAGCAAAAAGTCATGACATAAGAAAAAAAGTGTGTTAAGAGATTGGTGCTGAACAGCATGTCTGAAATAATTAATGGGATTAAAAGTTACCACAGACTGATATATAATTCTTTCTCTTTGCGACTGAAAACATGGCGAAGCCATCCCATAATAATCACCATAAATACTGACGACCGTGCCGAAATTCATTCACTGAGTCAGTGATTTTTGTCGTATTTCACTGGCTTTTATGGTGATTAGTACACATCTGTTCACATAGGCTTACGATTTTAATTTAGACCACACAATTTGAGCTTAGAGTTGGCTTATATTATAGAGAAATTCGTAGATATCGGCAGTAGGTAGGTAGGTAGATGACAAGTTAACGTTCGCTTCCAGCGGATGCTGATATCGCAAACTGATATCGGCAGTCTTCCACAAACAATAATATTGATCGCTTGCCATGTTGACATTATTAACTCATCACCTGTTAGTCACATGACAATTTGGCGACAATTCATTGGTTTGCATAATTATGTTGGTCATGACCTTATAAGGAAATTTTGAATCGCTACGCTTCGGTAAAGAGTCTGTTTTTGATTCCTTCGCCACATAAAAAGTCCGTTTTTCGAAATTCATTTTCGTTCAATCGCACAGCTTTAGAAAAGTGGTCAGTTAGTAGTTTTGATATGTTTTCGCACCATTAAATTCATCCTTGAATTTCATCATTTCATGGAGAGGGGTAAACAACTTGTGAACGAAAACCCTTTAGACTGCTCAGTCCACGTCCTACTACATTCGATCCTTATATTTATATTCGGTAGTGTTCAGGAATCTATCACGGTACTTTTAAGGATTAAATAATTGCCATAATATAGTTAAACCTTTCATTATTGTCAGAAAAATCCTCAAGGATTGCTTTGAATACCAATAATAACCCATGCGCGTTGTGTTCGCCGACTGAGAAAGTCGCGCTTGGTTACCCGCACACGGTGTGCCATCGGCTACGAGTAGTCAAAAATACCAAACACGATAGATATTTTCCACACGACCGCGAGTGGCCAAATGCACACTAAAAATTACCCGCACACGAAGCGCTACTAGTCGAGCGTAATTAGCGCTGCGCCATTTTCTCTTCGTGTGCGGGCGCCTAATGCAGTAACGACTAACGCCGTGACCTACATAGAGACTACTTTACACGTCGATCCCCAAGAACTCCCCACTCTCCTGAATTTTAAACATGGAGAAACATTCTCTCAAAATGGATCGTCCATCCTCTGAAGTTCCCAGTGACGATTTAAATGAGAGGGATTCGAGTTTCTCTTTAGTCAGCTATCCGATGATTTACGCACCCTCAACTCTTCTCTACACGAAGTAATAAGTACTGTTTCTTCCAACACGGAATCTCAACATGAACGTATCCGGTCCAACAACAACTCGCTCCATGAAGCTCTTCAAGTTTCATCCAACTCTGTTTTATCTGAAATAAGGTCACATCGTCTGGACGGTTCTTTCGATCGCGGAGACAGTTCCAGGTCGAAATTGCCTCCTACCACCACACCTTATTTCGTACCCACCACCGTCTCTGCAGGCATTTGCTTCAACGCCCAAGTCCAATCATAATTCTATAGAAATGAATTCCTTAGTCCAAACAATCCGGTCATGGGACCATAATCATCAACCAAAATTTGAACAAAAATCATGGTCTATTTGTGATGAAACCCAAACCGACACACTCGCAGCACCACAGGCAACCTTTAATCCAAATACCATACCAGGGTATAGTGGTTCTCAAACAAGACCTAGTGATCAGAATGGTTTATTAACCCGTTCTGATGTACCTCACCTAAAATTACCGACTTTGGATGGGTCCGGTGAATGGGATGCATTTACACTTCCTTTTACTCGTGCAGCAAACCGAAATGGTTATAACGATTAACAAAAATTGGATCGCTTTATAGAATGCACTAGAGGCGCTGCTGCCAAATTCATCACCACCTTGCCACAGGAAATTATCGGAGATTATAACCAGTTGATGAAACACATGCAAAGCCAATTTGGAAGGAAAAATCCACCATCCACAGCTCGTAAGAAGTTATCTGAACTTCGACAGAAAGCTGAATCCAACGACGAATTCGCGGAGGAAGTTATAGACGCTTAGTAACACTTGCATATGGTAATGTCACATCAATTGAATTACAAGAGGAATTGGCTGCTGAGGCATTCCTCAAGGGCGATAAGAATTCGAAGGCATATGAAGTCCTTAATCGCAACCCCAAGTCTGTTGCTGAAGCTGTGGATTTTGTCACCCAATTAGAACATAATTATCGAGCAACTATATGACGGGAAAATGATCGTATTATGGTTTGACACCAAGGAACTATTAGAAGCTCAGCTTACCTATCAAGAAAGCATGGCTAATCTGGTGAGATTGGTAAGTAAACTCGATAAATACCAGCATATTCCGCCAGCTGGACATAGTCTACCAGTTGATACTACCCTTCGCCCTGTATCTAATCCAGGTCACCCAGTCCTAAGCGATCCTCAAGAGCTGACTCAGACAACCGAATTCTGAAAATCAGCGACAACTTTGTCCGATCAGTCATAGTCCCTGTGACTGTCAACGACGGAACTACAGATGGAGTGCTGACGGCACTTTTATTTCATTTGCCTTTGCAGACAAGCTTGGCATTGTGCATTCACATAATAGGGTTGCTAGACTACAAAACGCTGAAAGTGGGAAGGAGATGACAGCTTATGTGTACGTTTAAGCAAAATTTACTTTTGTTTTCGATTGGTTTATTGGAGTTGCTCCTATTACAGATGACATTCTAATAGGCATGGGCATTTTACAAGAGTTTGGTGGAATTATTTTGGCCAAACAAGGTGATTTACTCTTTAAAGGGACGCAGAAGCTATGTAATATTGCTCGGATGAGTACTTCAGAAAATGTTTCATTACCGGTAATGACAGAAACTATTGTTTTGGGAGAATTAGAAAAACCTCTGGACGAGACAGAAGGTGTCCTGGAACCCATTCAACTACACAAGGGTGCAATCACAGGTTCCGTACTCGTTAATATGACCAAAACCATTCCCATTCGGATAATGAATCCGACTCCTTACGATCTACCACTTGACAAGGGTACTCATTGAAGGAAAGTTGTGCAAACCACAAAATCACCTGTTGCAAAAGATACTATCCCTTTAATCACAGAGGAAGACTTCGTGACTAGAGCTAAACTTGGTATTTATTATGGATGCAAAAGGTTTGACTCCTAACCAGACTGACAAAGCAGCCTCTTTAATACACAAATATTCCGATATCTTTGCAAACAATGATGCGGACTTGGGACATTTTTCTGACATCCAACACAAAATTGATACTGGATCAGCAAGACCTATTTGTTTTCAGAACGGGGATAAGGCCCATATTGACAACCTGTTACAAAACGGAGTCAGACTGGGCTTTCCCAGTAGTTCTTGTAAGAAAAAAAGATGATGGGGTAAGATGGTGTATTTATTATCGTAAAGTCAAAGATTTAACCGTTAAAGACTCTTATCCGTTACCAAACATTGAAGAATGTTTAGATACTCTTGCAGAGTCTACCACTTTCTCGACTATTGATCTTCAGAGTGGTTTTCATCAGAATGAAGTTAAGGCCGAAAGAAATCATCCTTTATCACTAAGCATGGCCTCTTTGAATTTACACGAATGCCTTTTGGTCTATGTGGAGCACCTGGTACATTCCATCGAGCCATGGAATTGGTTCTGAGAGGACTTCAATGGGACAAAGTTCTTATCTACTTGAATGATGTAATTATCGCTAGTAAGGCTTTCGAACAACACCTTAATCATTTGGAAATAGTTTTTCAAAAGTTTAGAGAAGCTGGATTGAAATTGAAACCTAAACTGTCATCTATTCCAAGATCGTGGACACTATGTGAGGGATGATGGGTTCGAGACCAACCCCGATGTGATTTCTGCAATTCAAGAGTGGCCATAACCAAAGACTACAAAGCAAGTCCAGGTTTTTCTAGGACTGACCAACTACTATAGAAGATTTATCCAAGGGTATGCATTGAAAGCTGAACCTTTTTATCAGCTCCGTAAGAAAGATAGCAATTTTTATTGGGAAGACGAGCGACAGAAGTCTTTCAGTTGTTTGAAAGATAATTTGTGCCAGCCTCCAGGTTTATCGTTCCCTTTGTCGGAGTCATTGTTCTTACTTGAGACAGATGCCTCAAACTTTGCCATTGGAGGTTTCTTGTTACAGATCCAAATCGGGAAGAAAGGGTCATAATCTTTGCTAGTAAATCCTTAGGACCTACCCAGAGAAAGTGCTGTGTTACTCGTCGTACTTCTTGCTGTCGTCACCTTTTCTGAGAAGTTTAAACATTATCTCCTTGGCAGAAGGTTTATCGTACGCACTGACCATGGTTCTTTGACCTGACTATTTCGCTATTTCCACAAGGGCAATTAGCTAGGTGGCTCAGTCAGGCATCTCAGTCAGTTTAATATTAATATATTCGAAAAGCATGTAGATGATGTTGTTCCACTGGCAGTACGGCAAGTCGTTCCGACCAATGTTCCCGTTGGGGTACACAGTGTCTCCATTGTTAATCATTGGCTTGAAGGATACACACTGAACGATATATCTGATGAACAGAAGAAAGACAAGCATCTCCAGACAATATATTCGTGGGTCCAAGATGGAGTACCAGACAATCGCCAAGAACTGTTCAAAGAATCTCCAACTTTAAGACATTACTGGTTACTCATGAACCAAATTTCTCTGCATGATGATACACTGTTTTACACATGGGAACATTCCAGGGGGAAACAAACACTTTTGATCGTTCTAAACAGCTTAAAGAACCTTGTTCTCAACTTGTGCCACACCTCTATCCTAGCAGGGCACCCAGGTATTCACAGAACTATGGACAGGATCAAGTTGCACTACTACTGGTTTGGTTTACGTGATGACGTCACTACCTTCATAGCATGTTGTCAAGAATGTTCCTCGAATAAGAAGGAAACCAAACCCAATAAGGCAGGTATTATTTTGTATCAGGCTGATTCATCACTTGATCGAGTACAGATGGACATTCTTGGCCCATTTCCCAAATCTTCTAAAGGAAATAAGTATGTGCTAGTTGTCATGGACCAGTTTTCCAAATGGGTTGAGGCTTACCCACTCCCTGACCAAACAGTAGAGGAGGTAGCATCAGTTTTGTTGTTAATGAATCTGTAAGCAGATTTGGAGTTCCAATTGAAATCAGGGAAGAAACTTTGAAAGCTCTCTAATCAAGCGTCTTGGAGAACTTTTAGGGTGGGCTTGTAGAGCGATTGAATCGAACCTTGTTGCAAATGATTCGGTGCTATGTAGATCACACACAAGAGGAATGGGACAAGCATCTGTCATTACTGACTGCTGCATATAGAAGCACTATTCATACAAGCATAGGATTTACACTCAACAAACTAATGCTTGGTCAGGAGGTAAGAACTTATATTTGGTCTGTCAGATTCTAGCCAGTGCAACGAATTTAAAGATTACATTGACCACTTGAGGGATTCGTTGGAAGAATGTCATCAACTGGCAAGAGAATCTCTGAAGCAGGCGGCAATTTCCCAGAAAGTCACCTATGACAGACTCAAGAGATTCTTTTTGGAGTCGTGTAAGAAGAGAACTTGAATTGAACAAGGATATCGCACCAGTCGAAGAAACTAATTCTGATTCAAACGACAACACTGACTCGCAAACCACTACCAAAGAGAATGATGTAAGAAGCGATAAGTCACAGAACATCTAAGACTTAGGTGCGTCAAGGACTCTGTGTCCGCTCGCATCTCGTCATACAGAACCCAAGAAAAGCTCAAGCACATTCAAGAGGCCTGCCAAGGAAGATCCTGATGACGATGAAACAAGCAAGACACAGCTGACCAAATACGTGGATGCGTCAAGAACACTGGGTGAGGTCAAATCCCGTGTTAGTGGTCCGTGTTAGTGTTAACACTGTTGTTAATACCGAATTTGGACACTAACACCGTAGTTGGATATTAACACGGAGTGTGTAACACGAGCTTACTATCGGTGTGATTTCTTGAATTTTAAATATCACACAGAACCGATCTGTATGGATTTTTAGCCTTAATTAAAATTTCTAAAATATATTTGATGATTTGATATAGTATATTATATAGTATAATTAGTGTTAATATCGAAGATGTGATTTCAGGGGTTATCTGAACACATTATTTGCAGGCGAAAATGACATAATTATGTAATTTCTTTTGGCAATCGGTTTTATTATACAGTTTGACATTCGGTACTCAAATTCTAATCGATTCCCGTCTGAAATAAGCATAACCATTCCTCGACACTTGAAAAAGGATAATATTTCGAAAACCGGTTCGTGTCAATTGCGTAAGTTTTTGTTTTACTTGTTTTTCACATCATTGTTAGCGTTATTTATCACCTAAATATATATTTTTCCATTTTTCATCATAACTTTCATCTTACTTTATATATCCCCAAACCCAGTTTGACTTATTTGCATAATTTGATCCCCACATTTTCACGCTAGCATATACAGTTTCCTCCTGTTACATCCGCTGTACATTCCCTTTCTAACCTCAAGTTATTTTCATTATGCTCCCCAACTACAACAACCACTGGCAAGAAGCCAGACATAGAAACACTAATCGTCAACCAAACCAGTATCACGTACCCTACAACGGCCCTGTCTTCCATCGACCTCTACCACCTACCAATCGCCGACCACCAACCATCCCATCCAGCTATATCCCACCCCATCGCCGACCTACCTACAACACCTACCAATCAAGAGGTAACCATCGACCTGACCAACAACAGAAACGACTACCAGCCAACCGACGCCAACCAGTCCCCACTCATAAGGAGGAAGAAGGTGTTCTTCCAAGTTTTGCAGTGCCTCCATCATTTGGCAATCCTTACCCTTCAACAGCAAGGCCAACCAGCGTTTACCTTCAAACGCAAAGTCTCTGAGTTGGATAGTTTTATCCGTCCAGCAATGAAAATATCAGCTGTTGACGCGAATATTAGATCCCTCAATCGGACATGGCTCTCTAAGGTAACGCAGGTCCTGATCGACCATTACCAAACCACACTTCAAGAGAGGCTGACCACCATTCGTACCAAGTCTTTATCATCACCTGCCGTCGACCGCATCGTTTCTCATGCCCTGTCCTGGGCCCGTCGCTCCTATGGGAAACGTCCCACTCAAGCTGTAATCAAGTTCTACCAAACAATCAACGAAACAAAAACCAGAGTAACCATATCTCTACCAACTGACGACGCTGCCGAACCAAACCCCTAAACGAGCCCGAAGTTCACCTACTCCTAGTCCAGCAGACATAGGTAAACGCTCTCGTAGAGAGGGCACTCCCCTTCTCTTTTCACTTTCAGAATCGTCTTCCCCTTCCACACCATCTGAATCTTCACCACGTGCTCCAAGATCCGCCAACCTTTCTTCCTTCTGTGCGTTTTTGGACGAGCAAACCACCCCTCAGTCTCCATCCAAGTCGAGATGTACATCCAGACCTTCCCCCCCTCGAACGAGATCCCA